CCTGTCGATACCTGTCGGCTGCCTCCGGAGTCCCACAGGCTAACCAAGCCCGATAGGACTCCTTCTTCAGCCTGGTGGCTCCCTTCACCTCTGTTTCCTCACATTACTGCAAATATTCCTCTGTCTCAGCTGACTCCTCTTTCTTGCTTGATTCTTTGTCTTCATCATAATTGAAATGGATGATGTGTAGTCCTCTGACACATCTTCTATTTCAGTTTCACATTCTGAAAATTCAAGAAACTTCAAGACGCCCAGTCACTTTCTTTCCAAGCTCCTCAGACTACCATGTCCTGGATGCCTGAGAACCTACTTGAACATAGTTCAGATTCTTCATCACTTTTCTTCACATAGCCTTCTTCCACTTCTGCAGGTGGGTGATGTGCTTTTTCAGAGAAAGGGTAGCATGTGCTCTAAATATTGACAATATTTTCTTTATCTTCTAACCCTCGATCTTCCTGATCATTGATTCTTCCTCCTCATTATACTAGAGGACAATGTGCTTTGTTCTACTGCTCATTACTTTGCACAACATGGTAAAAAAAAGTATGCTCACAAGCCTCCAGTGCAATGGAGGCCTGTGAGCATACTTTCCGTGTATGTATTATTGTAGGGTATACCTTACAATATGAAGCACCTTGATGCGACTGTTGTTGTGATTTGGTGCTGTGTAAATAAAATTTAATTGAATATAGAACACCTGCCAATTATACCCTGAACCCCAGAGGGTTAAACATTTTTTTAAAGTAACACAATAGTTACTTTTCAAGTAATTAATTACTTTTAGAATATTGTAACTCAGTTACTAACTCAGAAGCAACTAGTTACTATAAATCGTTACTTTTTAAAAGTAACTTGCCCAACACTGTTTTTAATACACCTCTATGTTTGTTTTGGCATTTAAAAAACAAAACATCCAGGTTCTTTTTTTTTTGCATGCATCTAATTTAACCAAACATTAATCATTTCTCTAATGAACTGATTACAAAACCTGATTTACCAGCAAATTATAAACAGTGCAGTTCAGTTCCAGGACATGAGTTTGCATGGGGAATTATTAATCAGGTTACAAAGAACAAGCAAAAAATCGAAAGTGATGCTTCTGTACTGCTTGTAACTCATTTAATTTCTTCTTGTTTCACACAATGTATCTTTTTATTTTAACATTGAATCATGTAACTGACTGATTCAATTATAGTCTGTTATTATTATTTGGGTAATTCAGACACCTGTGACACTTTAAATAACTCTGGAGGGTGCTGAAGAAATAAGAGAAAGCCATTTCCCAAAATTGCACTACTAGTTAGAACTAAGTGAATAAATAAAAATGCACTGCATGAATAGCGTAATCTCTCTCTTTGAAGCTTTAGAAAAAACAACAAGAGTTAATGAAACAATGTAGACAAGTATTTTTGTTGCAGCTCACACTGTCTGAGACTACAATCTAAGCATAAGATGTAAGAATATAATGCTTTGGTTATTTATTCTAATGCAGGGATGTCAAAAATCGTTTGACATCTGGGGCCAAATCCAGCACAGTTTGATCCTAAATGGGCCAAACTAATAAAACTCCCCTTTCTGCCAGTGTAGCAGATACAGAAATTGCAGGAACTTTTCTTTTATTTAATTGGTTATTTGTTTATTAATTACTTTGATGTATTATGAATAGCCATAGGGAAGTTGGTAAAAAAAGAAAAAAAAGAAAATACATTTAAAAGACATTTACATTTTAAAATTTATGCCCTGCATTATATTTGGTAAAGCTGTCCAGCGGGTCAAATTGGAGTCTTTGACAGACTGAATGTTTGACACTACTTTTCTAAAGCATTAGCTGAAGTAAATTTATTTCAATGAACTAAGCACCTGAAGCAAAATGAACAGAAGCCTATGCAGCTGGGCCAAAGCTTGATCAGTGACAACCTGAGTGATTGTTTCCACTAATGTGGCAGGAATAGCAGACTACAGAGTAAAGTCTAATAGGCCAAAGTTGTACTCCTCCTTGTTATGAGAGAGTCAGAGGACTGCTTGTACTGTTTGTGCAGGCCACTGTGCGTGTATGCTTTCCTCACCTGGTTGCTGTCCACCTTGTAGCCATATTTGAGGCCAAATGTTTTGCTCAGAGAAATGTTGATGGCAAAGCCCACAATGGCCACAGCAAAAGCATCTCCTATAACGCCTGAGAAGAAAGTGGTATCTGGAGCACGAGGGGCCTTGAGCCTGGAGCAGAAGAAAAACGTGAGCTGTTTTATCAGCGACACACACATGAATCTGTTTAATAATTTAGAAACACGTCAAATTAAATTTTATGAATCCCTCTTTAAAGGCCAGTAGCTGTTGTATACATGTATGACATTAATCTCCTATTATGGCTAGTGTTTACCCCACGCTGTTTTATGGCTTCCGTGGGGAAACCTGGATTTTTCCATAACAGGAGCCTTCAGGAGACACGCTGTTACACACACACTTCTTTGCAGATTGTGTGACAGTCTTATCAACAAATTCTGGATTTCTGGCAGAAATGAAAAGGGAGGAAATTTTGTGCCCTGGGTTTACTCCAGCACTTTATTTCCACACAAAGATGAGCTTACCCACTGGGAATTTCTCCAACCACGTCAATGTTGTATTTACTAGGAAGTTCACAGAAATGTGTAATGATTGTTGCTGCTATGACCTGTTGATTAAAAAAAACAATGTCACTCCAGTATCATTAGTTCTTTTTATATTTCTTTCTTGCAAACAGCCCCTTTCGTGTGCAACTATAGCGTTCCCTGGGTCTAGTGTGATCATTGGTGTCAAGACGCTCCCTGCTGGGTGCATAAATCAATACACCTGCTGTTTTACTGGCAGAGAAAGGATGAAAGAAAAACTAAAAGGAAGACGTACAACTACGAGCTCTATTGGAATAGGCAACGGCAGCTTCTGTCGGTAGCAGTCATTGATTTCTTTGACCACAATGAGAACAGCGAGTGCCACCAGGCTGACCACCAGCTCTGGCATCTGAGTCTGCGGCAGCAGGCTGCAAATGTCCAACACAGTCTGTGAAAAGAAGAAAAACAAACAAGTAAGGCAATACAAACAATGATAGTACAAGAGGACTGGAAATTCGGCTAGTACTTAAAGTCAGCAGAAATCTCCAGCAGTGAGGAAATACATGTCATCAAAATGCAGCTTCCACTTAAACCCAGCCATCTTTGTGTCTGAAGCAAGTTAATTTAAAGCAAACTTGTGCCTGTCTAATTCAATTCAATTTTATTCATATAGCGCCAAATCACAACAAAAGTCGCCTCAAGGCGCTTCATAGATACAGAGAAAAACCCAACAATCATATGACCCCCTATGAGCAAGCACATTGGCGACAGTGGGAAGGAAAAACTCCCTTTTAACAGGAAGAAACCTCCGGCAGAACCAGGCTCAGGGAGGGGCGGCCATCTGCTGCGACCGGTTGGGGTGAGAGAAGGAAGACAGGATAAAAGACATGCTGTGGAAGAGAGACAGAGGTTAATAACAGATATGATTCAATGCAGAGAGGTCTGTTAATACATAGTGAGTGAGAAAGGTGACTGGAAAGGAAAAACTCAATGCATCATGGGAATCCCCCGGCAGCCTACGTCTATTGCAGCATAACTAAGGGAGGATTCAGGGTCACCTGGTCCAGCCCTAACTATATGCTTTAGCAAAAAGGAAAGTTTGAAGCCTAATCTTGAAAGTAGAGATAGTGTCTGTCTCCTGAATCCAAACTGGAAGCTGGTTCCACAGAAGAGGGGCCTGAAAACTGAAGGCTCTGCCTCCCATTCTACTTTAAATACTCTAGGAACAACAAGTAGGCCTGCAGAGCGAGAGCCAAGTGCTCTAATAGGGTGATATGGTACTACAAGGTCATTAAGATAAGATGGGGCCTGATTATTTAAGACCTTGTATGTGAGGAGCAGGATTTTGAATTCTGGATTTAACAGGAAGCCAAAACAGGAGAAATATGCTCTCTCTTTCTAGTCCCTGTCAGGACTCTTGCTGCAGCATTTTGGATCAGCTGAAGGCTTTTCAGTGAGTTTTTTGGACATCCTGATAATAATGAATTACAGTCGTCCAGCCTGGAAGTAATAAATGCATGAACTAGTTTTTCAGCGTCACTCTGAGACAGGATATTTCTAATTTTAGAGATGTTGCGCAAATGGAAGAAAGCAGTCTTACATATTTGTTTAATATGTGGGTTGAAGGACATGTCCTGGTCAAAAATGACTCCAGGGTTTCTCACAGTGTTACTGGAGGCATGTGTGTATTCTCTTAAACTGCTTGATCTGACTTCTTCAAAGTGTGTTTCCAAGTTCAATATTGTCTCATTACAGCAGGTAAAATTACAACTTCATCTAATCTGATATGTGTGTAATAACATCTAGCATTTAAGCTCCTGTAATTCCCTGCATAGCTCCAGTGAGATTAGCTTCAGCTACTGGAACCATACTGGTGACTGTAATTGGACTGGTATATTTCATGAAGCTCTTTTCTGGCATTACTGGCCAAGCAAAACTTTTACTCTAAAAGCCATGTTCTTATAGTATTTTATATCATGCACTTTGTTGCACTCAAGGACACAAACACACAAACTTTGTATTTATTTACAAAGGTAATAGGAATAACTCATCCATTTATGTAGGTGCAGGCATCATAAAACTGTTGTAATTAGTCCAGTGCAGTCATTAAAGAAAAGTTAATGATATAAATTTTTAACTTTGCAAAATTAATTTTTTAAATGTTTAATCGTAAAGGTCAAAGTAGCACAAAAAGTAAATAAATAGTGACAGCAATTTAAAATGTTAGTGTACTTAAGTGTGAATTGGATAGATAATGATTAACACACTCACATAAATGAGGGAGAGGGGTCCAGTGAAGCGAGACGGTGTGATTCCAAACAGGTACTTGAGCTGGGAGACACACACGTGGCATGCCGATCCTGTGGTGTAGCCACGAATGAGGGGCTCAGAGAGGTAAGTGACCACGAAGCCAAACCTCACCACACCCAACAGAATCTTAGGATGTAAAATGACAAAGTCAGTGAAGGAAAGGAGGTGAAATATGCCCTGAAAGGTTTGCTCATCACTTCACTAAAAGCTGTACGTCTGACACACAAAATAGACACACACCTGAAAGATTCCTGTCAAGACTGTGAGGGAACATGCCACCTGTACTCTGTAAGCATCGCGTTTATCGATGTCCACAGTTTCCGTCCCATTAGTGCCATTCACAATAAAGTTACTGTCAGGTGCCAGCCTTTCTGTCACACTCCCGACCATGATGCTGATCACAGCAAATGTACCTGAGCATACAAAATACAGCCATGTGGACACACAGATATTCATAGAGACATGGAAGAATCAGATTAGCAATGCTCCAAAAGGTTGATTCTGTTCATCTGGACGTAGCGTTTTCAGTGGGAGAAACGTTTCGACACTCATCCGAGTGACTTCTTCAGTCTCAGCTGACTGCAGGTTAGAGTTAGTTCATACAGATTTTACAGTAAATTTGTATGAAACTTGGCACAGAGGTACAGTAGGTGTCCCAGAGGAGGGATGTGTTGAAAGCTGGACATCAACTATTCAGGATGATTTTTAATGAATTTAGGAAATTGGCATAATTGTAGTGTATTGGCTGTATTGAATTGAATATAAATGTCATTTAATTTCTGAGGAATTTTACAGTAAATCTGGATGAAACTTGGCACAGAGGTACAGTAGGTGTCCCATTCGAAGCTTCCTTGGGATATCAGCCTTCCCTATTTCCTGCTGTGGAAGGTGAGCACTCTGTACCCTCCGTCCAGGCTCATCTACGCAGGTGTCGACGGGTTTGGCGGGCCACTACGCACAAAGGAGAACAACAAACGCATCGCAGACCGGCACCGGACCCCAGCACCCGAATACTCTGCCGGTCAGAAGGTGTGGCTCTCTACCCGCTTTGTTCCCGTCAGGACCGAATTCAAAAAACTTACACCCAATTTCATCGGTCCTTTTGAGATCTCTGCCCTAGTCAACCCTGTCTCTGTGAAGCTGAAGCTCCCTCACAATATGAAAATCCATGATGTCTTCCATGTTTCACAAATCAAACTGTGGTCTGCGCCTGAGTCTGCCTCACTATCCATGACAGTTTCTCCCACTGAAAACGCTACGTCCAGATGAACAGAATCAATTTTTGGAGATTTACTTACCTGGATGATTGAGAATGCATCAAGACAGATTAGCAATGATGTTACAGCTTTTTTGAATTAGGAAAACAGACATTTTCCACATCACTTACCTATAGAAATGTGTCTCGATGTACCGAAGATGAAGTAGACCAGCACTGGGAAGAGGGAGGTGTAAAGGCCATACACTGGTCGCAGGGAAGCCAGAAGAGCATATGCCATGCCTTTTTAAAGAAGATAGAACGCATATATGTCAGCTTAAAGTCCTTCAGACACATTTTGGTTGCTTAAAAGATTGATAGAAACATCCTTTTTCTGTTTACTGATTAGAGTGGGGTGGGAGAATTGATATCAGCCTGTGTCCTAATTATTGTCTTCAGATTTGGATAAAATTAAGGTAGCTGCTTCTATTACAAACATTTGTACTGAATTTGTGTGGCTAAAGAGTGAGCTCCCTCAAGTGCACAAATTCCCACATACAAACCCTGCGGCAGATGCATGATGCCGACACTGCAGCCAGAAATCAGGTCTCCTAAGGCATTTTCTCTGACGGAGTAACGAGGCAACCAGCTGAGAACAGGGACCCAGGTTAGAAGTATGTGTTTCAGCCTGGGCACCGAACATCTGCAACAGTCATTCCAGAAAGACACAATTTAAGTGCTGATATCGACTTTGTAGTTTGTAGTTTTAAGCTTAAATAAATAAAGAATATCTATGTACCTTTTTATATCTATTAGTCTGCTGAAGAGGGATATATACAAAAAGACTGACAATGTAACTTGTGAACTGTACCACCTGTTACATCTTTTATCAGCTGGGGCTGTAAAAGATTAAGTCACTGTGGCTTAGGGTAGAAATGTGATAAGCTTCCATGGAGTAATAACTAAGTATTTAACAAAAATAAATAAATAAAATAATTAATTGCCTTTCTCCTGCATGAATATTTGCCTTCTTTGTCCCAAAGAAATATGTAAGGTAATAAAGTAAGTCTCGACCTCCTCTGCCATGTTGACGCGTTAACAGTTATGAATTCATGTAATTGAACTGTCAATAATTGCTTTTGTGATTCATCAGTATCACTTTTATGGTCAGATATGATGTGCTGTATCACAAGTTGTTTTAAAGGTTAACCAGGGAAAATTTTCAAAAATGAGATAACAAAACAGTTAACCAACCAGACAAGTCAAACCTCTATCTAAACATGCAAACTCATTCTCAGCTCTTTAGCTCACTTCATTAATATCTTTTAAATGTTGAGAAGTTCTAACCCTAACCCTTTGCGATAACTTCCCATGTCTTTTTAAAAAAATTACCTCAGGGGCTCTTTCACCTGATCACCCAGTGTCAGTTTAGTGGACCAGGTCTCTTTTTGAGCCACTTCATCCAGGCATAACTCATCCAGAACCTCCCTCTTCACAAAATACTCAACGGATTGCAAGTCCTTCTCCTCCATGTCCTTGTCTACTTGAGCAAATGTCCGAGACCTCTGTAAAGTTGGGTTTGTTTTGAGGGTCCTCTTGAGTGGTACGGACAGTTACAGGTGTCACCACTGTGTGAAGAGAACGAACCCCCCTCAGTGTTCTGTAATAATGCATCTGTGGGAGTGACTGTTCCTTTTCCATCCTGGTAAGAGAAGATCCACCTCCCCGCATGTCCCTGACTGCACACTTGCACACACCTGATGTAATGTGTGTCTGTGTGAACATACATGTGTGTTGGCCTATGGCAAATAATTTGCTAAAAGTAACTTAAAAGGATGACTTGCAGAAACTGCAGAAAACTGCAACTGAAAAACAGAACATGTGTTGTATAATGTAACGAATGTGCATTAATACAGAGGTTTTTTTAAACACTTACTCAATTTTATTTTAATTTTAGTTTTCTTCCGTAAAGTGTATTTCCTCAGTGAGGGACAATAAGGGATATTTCTATTCTATTCTATTCTGAACCATTCTCTCATAATCTGCTTCTAAATCATCTATAAACACTTTCTAGAATAGAATAACCTTTTATTGTCATTGTACATTTAAAAATGTTTACTATCTTTATTGTTTATCTATTATCTTTATTGCTGTTGAGCTTCAGTAAAGAGATAAAATAACATCATTTTCATTGTCAGCAGAAAATCCATGCCAGATATTTCTTACGGTGTCTGATATGTTTCTTTGAACCTGGCAGACTAGTAAAAACAGGCAACACCCTCGTGGTCTAAATGTCACCAGCTAATCTTATGTATCCCAGCTGCCTGTTTACATATAAGGTAACTTTGTTACACATGCCATGTTTGAAAAACCAAAAAACAACATAGAAAGGTTTTATTTTTGTTAGAGATATTGAAAAGTCATCTGGGGGGGATGTCAAACCCTAAAAATTTGAGTCTGTACACATGATCTGTGTATGTCTGTCAGTACGGCCACTTAAATATAAAGAATTCTGGCCATTTAGCCTTGAACCATTTGGCCTTATAAAACAAACTCATCAATCACACCGCTGGCATCTATGCAATGTTTAATGTTGAGCTGGTTAACATTTAAAGGTTTTTGTCAAAATGACTTCAACTATTGATTGGGCTCTTCATACCTTGAACAGAAAAAGATAGATAACATAGTCAGTGATATAGCTGGGAGGGAATCATTGAACTAAATGAAGGATTTATATTTTGCCCACACTGAAAAAGGTATTTATATTTTGAAAAGCATAGTCTTTGTTACTTTTGGCAAATATGTTAATATTTACAAGAGAATTGTATCAATCTTTATCAATCCTTTTTTTTTACATTTTTTTTCTTTTGCATCTAGGACGACATGTCAATGAACTGTACTTGGCAGAACACATAACTTTAGTCAGACATTGTTTATGATTTTGTGTTCTAACTGGTTCACATTTTAAATGCTGTCCTCAGACGTTTATGTTTTTATGATGTTGTAAACGAGGATGACAGGTTGATGTACAAGACAAAACACCCATATCACTAGGAGATGAGCCCTTGAAGCCCAGCTTTTGTTCTGTTTTTGGTTCATTTTAGTCATGGATAAAGTGTAGCAGTTTGTCCCTCTGCTTCTCTGACTTTTTTTTCTGTTCTAAACATTAAAAGAAAAAGTTTCGTTTCTGCACGTGCCAGTTTGAATTTTTTTCATGCTTGTATGAAACTATACATTTATTTTGTCATTTAAGCCTCTTCATGTTTTTGTGTGATCAAGTGACAGCTGACAAAGCAATCATTATAAGCAGATTGCTCCAAGGAGGGCATTATAATTATGAGCTTCATACATATATCAAAGAGTACAATTTAAGTGATAGAGAAAAATATTCATAAAATGAACCCATTGTTTTCTTATGATTGATGTGGCACTTACTCTGTAGGTTTTTCAAATACTGGATCTCACCACACATCCCTTTGTTTGTATTAACGCTTGTTAACATGTAAACACTCTAACTGCAGGGATGGAAAGGTGAAGCCTTGTGTGTTTTCACTTAACACATATATACATTTTTGTGTTGACTTTTAAGGTTCTGCATGAAAAAGCTCTAGCATACATCAGTCAACTTTTACATGCATACTACTGCAGGTCGCAGAGGTCATGTGATCAGGGTCTGCTGGCTGTGCATCATACTAGGTTGAGAGCTAAAGGAGATGGAGCGTTTACAACAGTGGCCACCAGACTCGGGAACTCTCGCCCACTGAGCCTGAGATCTGCAGATTCAGGATTTCTTTTAAAAAGCAGCTCAGATGTCATTCTTTTAAACCAGTTTTTTGTTTTTATGTTTTTAACATTATGTTGTGAAGCACTTTGTGATATTTATTTTAAAAGGTGCTCTGAAAATGATTTCTTTTCTCACTCGCTTGTAAAGGGTTTCAGATTGTTTTGTCACCAAAAAAGCTTTTCTCCCTGACTGAGTTAGAAGTAAAAAGGTTAAATATAAATGGAAATTCCTAAAGAGCAACCGACCAAGCAACCAACAAAATGGATTCCGCTTTTTCAAAACTGCTTTTGCATTCTGCATTTGGAAAAATAGTAAAGACAGAAAAGGAAATACAGAAGGGTGCAGCAAAGAAAATTCATATCAAGCTGTTTAGTCAAAGGAGCTTGCAAAGAAAAGCGTCTGGACTTCTTTAAGTTACTTGAAGACGTTTCACCTCTCATCCGAGAAGCTTCTTCAGTTCTAAGGTCAAATGGTGGGAAGTCCCAGATTTAAACCTAGTGGGAGAATCCCTACGAATACTTACGAAGCCTTGAAGCTAGACCCCACAAGCAGCTACAAAAAGAAAGTTATAGTTTGCCTTCAAGACTTTGAAAAGGACAAAATCATTGACCGCCTTACATATCACCGCCTTTACCCAGGGGATGCCATACCCTGCATTTACGGACTTCCTAAAATCCACAAGGAAGCTGTCCCACTCAGACCCATAGTCAGTAGCATAAACTCAGCCACTTATAACATTGCAAAACACCTTGCTACCATCCTGGCACATCAAGAACTCCACCGACTTCACCGACAAGGTCCAGAAACTTCCCCTGGATCCAGATGAAACCATGGTGTCCTTTGATGTAGTCTCACTCTTCACCTGCAAACCCACCATGGAGGCAGTGGAGACCGTCAGAAAACGACTACAAGAAGACAGCTCCTTGAAAGACAGGACCAACTTCACACCCGATCAGATTTGCACACTGTTAGACCTCTGCCTCACCACTACATATTTCAAATACAACGAGGGTTTCTACAGACAAAAACATGGCTGTGCCATGGGCTCCCCGTGTCACCTATTGTAGCCAACCTTTACATGGAGAAAGTGGAAAGGAAGGCTCTTGGGTCTTTCAAAGGAAGAGTACCCAGCCACTGGTACAGATATGTAGACGAAACCTGGGTCAAAATCAAGACACAAGAAGTGGAATCCTTCACTGCCCACATTAACGCTGTGGATAAAAACATCAAGTTCACCAGGGAAGACACAAAGGACGACTGTTTGCCTTTCCTGGACTGCGCTGTGCACATTGAAGAGAATGGCAACCTCAACATCGAAGTTTACCGGAAGCCCACACACACGGACCAGTACCTCCTCTTTGACTTCCATCACCCGCTGGAGCACAAACTTGGAGTAATTAGGACCCTACACCACCGGGCAGAACATGTTCCCTCTAAGCCTGAAGGAAAAAAGAAGGAACACACACATGTAAAGGAAGCACTCAAAAGGTGCGGCTATCCTAAATGGGCGTTCTTAAAGTCAGCAAAGAGGCACAGAAAAGAAGATCAGACACCAGCGAGGGAGGATAAGAAGGACAGACGCAACAACATTGTCATCCCCTATGTAGCCGGTGTATCAGAGAAACTCAGTTTTCTCCAAGCACGACATCCCAGTGTATTTCAGACCCAGCAACACACTCAGACAAAAACTGGTTCACCCAAAAGACAAAACTCCAAAACACAGACTTAACAATGTGGTGTTTGCTGTACAGTGTAGCGAGGAATGCCCAGACCTCTACATCAGAGAGACCAAACAGCCACTTCACAAGCGCATGGCACAACATAGAAGAGCCACCTCCACAGGACAAGACTCAGCAGTCCATCTGCATCTAAAGGAGTGACCTTTGTCTAAAGGACAAACGTCTTCAAGTAACTTAAAGAAGTTACACATTTGCTTATCTTTTTTTAAGGACAGTGTATGCAAGTGGTCCTCATCTTTGGCTCAAAGTCACGCTTTAATCAGCTTGTGAACATCTATGGTCCCAACACCTGAGGGATGACAAATCTTACTCTGCAGCAATATCTTGAAATATGCAAACCACAGTGACTGTCATTTTCTCTTCTTTAAGGTCATGCTAAGGCATTGTTCTTAAATGCTAAAATGATTTAAGAGCTCTCCAGACCCATATCTTTGCAGGGAGTGTGAAAAATGTGTGCAATATTCTGTGGCCTACTCTTGTTTATGTTAATACTATTGGTCAACAACAGTGCTATACATGCAGCACATGTAGTGTTACATGTTTTCCATATGATCTTGTGCCTTAGTAGCTGAGAAAGCAGAACTAAAATATAGAAAGAACTTCCGTATAGGGGAGTAAAATTAAGTTTTAAACACAGATATATTTTCTTTTACACTTTTCCCTCTTTATTGTGAACTCCACTCTGGCACTCTGTTCATCTGGACGTAGCGTTTTCAGTGGGAGAAACGTTAAGTCACTCATTCATGTGACTTCTTCAGTCTCAGTCTCCACTCCGGCTTCTTTTCTCAGTGAAGCCAACTTCTTAAACATTTAGCCTGTGACCTACAAATAATGTCATCCCTGCCAGGTGAAATGGTATAAATTTCTCTGTAGCCTCAACCTTTTGTTTTTGCACAGCTAAAGACCTACGCAAACAGACACCAAAGCAGTGCCATAAGTCCTGCATGAAACAGCCAGTTTGGCAAGATAACGGCTGAGTGTGCTCAGTGTGGCCTGGGCTGAGCCCACT